GCTCAGCCAGGGCTTCTACTGGTCTGTCTGTCTTACCTGCCTGCCTGTCTGTCTGTCTGGAGCTCAACCAGGGCTTCTACTGGTCTGCCTGCCTGCCTGCCATTCTGCCTCTCTGGAGTTCAGCCAGGGCTTCTACTGGTCTGTCTGTCTTACCTACCTGTCTGTCTGGAGCTCAGCCAGGGGTTCTACTGGTCTGTCTGTCTGTCTGTCTGTCTGACCCGTCTGCCTGCCTGCAGGTACAATGCGAGCTCTGGGAATGAAGACAGCCCCCAGACCTCAGGTGCCTACATATTCAGACCCAACTCCTCCACACCTTTCGCCCTCTGCCACAGGGCACGGGCACGCACTCTGCAGGTAGGACCCTCGTGACCCCCACACACTGAACACGTCACATGCAGAGCCGGGGGCAGACACGGCCTCCTGCCCTGTGGGCCGGCGCCCCTCGGCCTAGTCGATTCTGAGTGGAAGAGCTGTCCAGCTGGAGCTGTGTGGCTGTGCTGCCCCCTCCTGGGCGCGGGGGGCCTTGTTGCTTGCTGGGGGCTGCTGGGACGGGCTAGCCGTCACGCTGCTCTGGGTGCACCGTCGTCACATGAGCAGACATGGCTCGGTCAGGCCTGGGAGCAGGGTGCACTCGGGGGCTGTGATGTTGGGGGACCGAATGCCGTCCTGTGCGGGCTGGTCACTGCCTCCTCTGCTCCAGACCCCCCTGCTGACGGAGGTGTACCAGGAGTTCAGCCCCTGGGTGTCCCAGGTGGTGCGGCTGTCCCGAGGGCAGAGGCAGCTGGAGCTGGAGTGGACTGTGGGGCCCATCCCTGTGGAGTGAGTCTCCTCCGCCCTCCTCGCTCTCTCTGTCTGTCCTCTTCCTCTTCCTCCTCCGTCTCTCATCCTCCTCGACCCTGCTCTCTCACAGGGACGGCCTGGGGAAAGAGGTGATCACGCGATTCGACTCCCCCATGAACACCTCCGGGCTCTTCTACACCGACTCCAATGGCCGGGAGATCCTGGAGCGCAGGTGAGCCGCTGGGCCGAGCCGGACTGGGCTGGTGCACCCTTGGCCCTCGGGGGGACTGCGATGGATTGTGTGCGCCCCCTGGTGGACAGCAGTGAATCTGCGCCCTCGGCAGTAGAGCAGTCTCTTCATTCCTGGTGTTTCCTGATTTCTGCTTGCGGGCTTCCTCTGTGTTAACGCTCCTGATGTTGTTGCAGGAGGGATTTCCGCCCCACCTGGGACCTGAAACAGACTGAGCCAGTTGCTGGAAACTACTACCCTGTCAACACCCGCATCTACATGAAGGTCATCTGCCTGCCTGCCTGCCTGCCTGCCTGCTGTTACCTGTCTCTCTCTCAATTCAATTCAATTCAGTTTCAATTCAAGGAGCTTTATTAGCATGACCCATGGGTACAATCAGTGTTGCCAAAGCAAATAATAAAAATAATAAAATTAACATGGAACAAAACACAAAATAAAAGTAAAATACAATCTACAGACATTTACAACAGAGACATGTCATAAAATATGTACATATACTGTAAACCTATGGAGCATTATTGGGAGACGGGCTCACTGTTCCTCAGGCTGTGACAGGAGATCACATACTGGGCTGCCAGTTCAACTGAGTTCCCTCCCTCTCTCTCATGTCCTCACCCTGTCTCTCTCACTGTCTGCCTCTCTCTGGCTCAACCTCGTCCTCTGTGCCTGTCTCTCTCTCTCTGCAGGACAAGCAGTCCCAGCTGACCGTGCTGACTGATCGATCCCTAGGGGGCAGCAGTATCCGGGACGGGTCTCTGGAGCTCATGGTGAGACTACCCCCTCCCGCCTCCTGTCCCCCTCTCGCTCTGTAGACCCCTGTTTCTTCAGCTCGCCCCCTCTCTCTGTGTATGAACCCCTATGTCTCTCGCAGCTGCACAGGCGCTTGCTGTACGACGATTTCCGGGGTGTGGGGGAGCCCCTCTCGGAGCCGGGCGATTATTACGACGGACTGGTGGTGAGAGGGAAGCTGCTGGTGTCGCTGACCCCCCCTGGGACTGCGGCCGACACCCACCGCCCCGAGGCAGAGAGACAGGCCCTGCAGCCCCTGCTATCACTGCAGCCCGGGGAGAGCGAGACAGGCACCCTGCTTGAGGTGAGACAGGGGGAGAGAGAGAGAGACGGGCACCCTGCTTGAGGTGAGACAGGG